CTGAGCAGCCGTTTGGAACTGTGCCTTGGGTTGTGTCTCACTATCCTTTCTCTCCTCCTTGCTTCTGGTAAGGAGCACCGGCCACCGCTTCCTGCCCCCTCTACCCCCAGCTCTGGTCAGACACGTGGCCAGAGGCTGTATTTCTCAACCTACCTGGAAGCTGAGTAAGGCCACGTGATTGTGACCAGCGAAATAGGAGTGGAGACATGTGTTAACAGCTGGGGTACACCCTCCTCTTCCTCTTCCCCTGTTCCTGGGGGCTGGGAGGCAAGGATGGAGTGTAGGTGTGAGCAGCAGGCTTTGCACCCAGGATGAGGGCCAACACCTGGTGATTGGTGAAGCAACAAGGGGAGGGGGGACCCCGTCTCGGAGGTAGAACTATCCTACCTCCCTCAAGCCTCTACCAGCCCAGACTTCCACATGCAAGAGAGAAACTCAATTCTTTCATCCGTGGAAACTGAGCTTTTGTTGAAGCACTCCCAAATCCACATCTGAATATGGTGATTCGCACTCCCAGAAGTTGAATAAACCAGAGGAATGCCTTGAGGAGCTCTCGCAGAGTTCCCGAAATCCTCACCAGAGGCCATCTCCTGATCCAGTATGCTTCTAACAATGACCCCAGTGCCCTCTGGTATGCCCAAGCATTCATCATTCCACTTGTTGGGACAGTGTCATATTTCATTGTGTGGCATGTGTCTAAGGTCGTATGGCTAGTGCAACGTTGATACCAATAGCCAAGAAAGTCCCATTCTCCAGTCAACAGGTCCGCTTCATAGTTTACTGCAAATCTGTGAGATGCCTTACCTAAGGAGTTATCTTATCTCCACTTACAGGTGCGTGAAAGCCCAGCAGAGTCTTTCCCAAGAGCCTAGGGTTAATAGAAACTCAGATTCTCAGACTTACCTTTAAGTGCTCTTGACATTTCCTCCAACTAAGAATGGTTCTCTCTCCTTAGAGATTAAGGTTCTTTGGCACAAGCCAGGGAATACTATTAAGAAATCTTTTTTTTTTCCCTTTCTTAGAGTAGTTGTAAAAAGGACAATTAAGCCACTGAAATGTGAGCACTAAAGAAAACAGGAAGTTGGACAAAAGGCAGCATCATGCAGGTCAGAGGATATTTAGTAATGATTAGCATTTGGAAGTCAGCGGTTACCGGTTCACAATCGTTCTTGTAAATGTTCAACCACTGGAAAGCCCTCAAAATGCCAGGTAGCCAATGGTTTCCAGATGAAAGTATTTTTGAAAGGGAATAAAAACTCTTTCACTTCTGATAGCATCTCGGCTTACTGAGCGAAATAATGAAGAGCCTTCTATACCACACTGGACTCACTTCCTAGAAATTCGTAAATACCAGCCCACAGAGCGTGACAAATCACTGCTGGACTCGGTGCTCACTCTGTGTGTTTAGAGAACTGGTTCGTGTGGGAAAGACCTAAGTGTCTGGTCCTCACGTCAGTGTCTTTGGACCCGAAAATCACCAGAAAGGGAGGCCAAGGGGGCCCCAGGTTGAAGTTGTAAGGCAGGACCAGAGAGGCAGAGAGCGGAGAGTCGCCAGATTAAGGGAAGGTCAGCCATCTGTGAAGGATCCAAGTGTTCTTTTCCCAAAGTCGAAGCAGGGATGGAGACACTACTGGCTTTGAAGTTGAAAGACCCAGATGCAAGTTCTAACTCAACCCTGGGCCTCGCAAGGCGACCTCTGCGTGGAGTGCACAACTGACTCCTTGATGAGTAGATGCTCCACCGACCCCAGGAGGTTAAGGTGAAGAGGCACGAAGACATTTGGGAAAATGTTTCCAGTGCCGCACAGGTGATGAGGTTTATCATGAGAAAAGATATGAGATGGCACACATGTTCTTGCTCACCACTCTTTTGTTTATAAGGGCAAATCAGCTGGAGCAGAAAAGGCATCTTTTGGTTCAGTTGATGGCGGACAGTAGTCATCAGAGCTGATCACAAAGATCCCATTTCCCTTCCTTCCTGGTGTGTGGTAGCATTGAAGTTCTCTGCCCTCTTTAGTTAGGTGTGACCATGTGACTTGCTTGTCACTCCTGGGCAGAAGCTTGAAGAGCAAGCGTGCCATCTGCCACGTTCCCTCACCCCACCTCAGTGGTTGTGGAGGCATGTACTGGGACGAAGTTTCCATTGTTCTTGGTGACTATGGCGAGGAGAACACTTACTCTCTGTCCCCGGTCTCCATTGCTTGGGAGAAAAAGTAATCTTCTGTGAAGCTAAAAGCCACTGCAACCTTGGGATTGTGTGTGATTTCTACATAATCTCACACTGACCACATTTTATTTTCTGTATTCTTGATGCTCTGGCATTTGGGACCTTGATCCTGGAGACTCTCTTTCGTGGGGCTAATTCCTAACTCCCCTGAGAACATGACTTTAATACAGAAATCAGTCAATCCACAGCCACACCCCAATTGTCTTTTTTTTTTTTTTTTTTAGATTTTATTTACTTATTTGACAGAGAGAGACACAGTGAGAGAGGGAACACAAGCAGAGGGAGCGGGAGAGGGAGAGGCAGGCTTCCCGCCGAGCAGGGTTCCCGATGCGGGGCTCGATCCCAGGACCCCGGGATTGTGACCTGAGCCGAAGGCAGCCGCTTAGCCGACTGAGCCACCCAGGCGCCCCTCCCAACTATGTCTTTTATCAAACTCTCACACACCGAACAGTGGTCCCCCTGCCCCAAGTCACCCCAGGACCAGGTACTGCACAACTAGGGACCCCTCGGGTAGTCAAGCGCCTGCCCAAGTCGTTCCAACTGGCCAATCCTGAGCTTACTCACTGTAGCTGTCCCGCCTTGCCCGGTGCTTCCTGTGAGAACCCCAGGAAAGGCTCCAGGCCACGCTGTCCTCATGCCCCCCCCCGCCTCCTGACCCTCCCTGGTCTTCCCCACATGGCCTTGTGTGATGTGCCATGCCCCCTGACTCCAGGGCCCTGCGCGTATAAACCACCTTCCTGACAATCATTTTCCCGTGTATCTTACCATTCCCAGTAAAAACAAATCCCAGGTACATTTTTACACTAGGAAAGACTACGAGGAAGACGGACTGGCATCAGGCACACTGGATTTCCTGATCCTTTTCCCAGCCTCTGGGTTCTGCCTTGCTCTGAGCTGGCCTTCCCCCCCGCCTCCACAGAGGGGCTTTCTCCATGTGGCAGGAAGAACCCAAGCATCCTGGCTTCATCACCAGAGCCCAGAGGCAGGAGACGGTTTCCACTGCAGATTTCCGGCAGAAAAAGTCATAGGGAAAGACTCAGACTGGCCCAATCTGGGTCATGTACAATCATGAGACAATCTATAGGACATGCACATTGATTAGCATTGAGCAATACGCTCTCCACCGTGGCCTGGTGGGCGGGAGGTGCTGGGCAGCCATAAGCACAGGGACCGATGCTAGATTTATCATTGCCCTTTTGTGGATGGAGTCTGGACATCCACACCTTGCCATGTGCTAAGGAAAGGACAGTTTGCAGATGGCTGTTCATTACACAAAGCACTACTGGAAAACCAGACAAGCACTGAATGAGGGAACTGGCTTTGAGATCAATAGATAGAAACTAGGATGTTTTTCTGAGATAGGATCAGGCCAGCTAGAAATACGGTATCTACAAACAATCCATCCACCCTAACAGTAGAAAACAAACCCCTTAAGTGAGCACATGGGGTGAAGGGTAGCAAACATTCATCGAATTTTCCGATATTTATTGAATGCCCTCTATATGTCATGCACCCAGATGGTTCTGTTCAGGTCGATCTGGCTGAAGGAATGACGTCCAGCTGCCCAGACACCTATGCTGCTTCAGGTTACTTTCTTATGGATGCCCCTGGGAGGCCCGGAGAACAGGGACTTGGGAGATCGGACTGTGGGTCACAGGGACTGGAAGGAAAACAAAGGGGTTGAATTCACAAGGCCATACTCAACCTGACAGTAAGACCAGGGACTCTCAATCTGGAAACAGTAGGCTGACTTCCGGGGTCCATGAACTCTTGTCACTGAACGTAAAAAATGGAATATTCATTTCCCACAGAAAGGATCGGCAGCGTTCATAGATTATCAATGGACACAGCCCCCAAAATGTTAAGAACCGCCATGTTAACAGAAGGCTGCTCGGCTTCCAAGGAACAGCAAAGAGGAGCTTGGGATTTTTTTCTCGACATTCCTAGTGTCTTAGGAGTACGTTTTCTCATCTCTACTTCAGTTCCAGTAGTTTCCAAATGGAGCTAAAGTCACAGAATGCCACGTCCCTTGCGGAGCCCTGCGTGGTAGAGAGAAAGCAAGAGAAATCTGGGCCCACGTCCTAACGAGGCCATTTACCAGCAGGCGACTTAACCTCAATGAGCTGATTTCCCCATCGATAAAGAGAGGATAATGACATTCACCGTCGCATCAACCCTGGGACAGTAAATGAAACGGTGACCATGGAGGGCTTTCCACCTTCCTTCCGTTTAAGAATCAGAGCGAACCCGATCAAGCCTTTCTTATCCACCCTCACGGTGCTAAGTGCTTTCAGGGACGTGGCAGCATTTAATCCTCACAGAAGCCCTACAGAGGAGGTACTATTATTATCCCCATTTAATCTTTAAAAAAAAGGGAGGGGGAGAACCGAGAGGCAGGGTCAAGCCCCTCGCCACTGAGAGGCAGAGCTGGCTTCCAGCCCTGGCAGCCCAACTGGAGCCCATCTTCTGGCTCCAGGGCTCTGCCTCCTCCACACACACCGCCCAGAGCCGCCGAGACAAGCACTGACGGCCGGCTGCAGCCCCTGTAACAGGCACACACTGCCTGTCCGCCTAGCTTTCTCCGGCTCCACATGACAGACGAACGCCTGGAAGGTGGTGAGGCTCACAAGCCTGCTTTCAGGCCACACCGTGCTCACGAGCTCAGCAGGCAGTGAGAAGCTGGGGTCACCTTTATGAATGAGAGGTGACACTGGTGTAAAGCAACAACTCAGGTTAAGGACAGAAGCTTCAAAAACCGTGACTAGAGTCATGAAGTCTTTAGAACGATTATTTATTTCCATCACTCCCACTTGTTTCCCGGGCCCTGTGGCTTCATGAAGGAGGAAGTCAGCACCCATTCCAGACTCCCTACGCTGGAAGGAGGGCCCGCAGGGTTGAGGGGGCTCAGGAAGGCTCTGGACTTGGGCCGGCGGGGGGCCCCACGGCTCTACAGGCTCTGCCCGGCTTCTCCGACGGAGAAGCGCCAACTGCTGGCCTCAGCCCCGTGATTCCCTCCCTGTGCTCCAGGGCCGGACACGGACCAATCAGACCTAATGCTGGAAAGGAACTTCTGAGATGAGCTCCACAACGTGGGCCTGAATTTTCCAGGCAGCCACGCAGAGGCAGCTGATGGTGCGGATGCCCCCTCACACCGCCGCAGTGGTGAGGACGCCTTCCAGAGGTGGGGGCTTCTGCTCACCAGCTTCCGAAGGACGCAAGATGACGAGGGAGGAGAACAGCGCGGGGCCGGGCTCTGCTTCCTCCCGGCGCAGCTGTGCCTTCCGGATGGCAGCCCCCTCCCCGTCCCCCCGGGCCGGCCTGCAGACCCTGCCAACGGCCGCAGCTGCTGCAGGGGGGCAGCCCGGGGGCTGGGAGGCGCACACCGCTGGCCGGCAGCCGGCTGGGGTCATTTGTTGGCCACGGCGGAGAGCTGGTCACGGATGCGGCCCAGGCCGTCTAGCATAGTGTCCAGCGTTTCCTTACTCAGCTCCACAGTGACCGCTGAGATGGAGGGCTTGTCTCCACACAGAGTAGGATCTTCTTGGATCTGAAAAGAGAACAGGGCCCAAACGTCAGAGCCGCCCCTCTTCCCACCGTCCTGGAGGTGAGCCCTGGAGCTGGGAGCCGTCCCCCATTCTGGTGAACCTCTAAAGACAGGCTTTTTGCTCAGAGCTCCACAGAGTCCTAGGCCTGGCACCCTTTAGCAAACGAGGAGACGGAAGGAGAGTCGCAGGGGCTTGGGAGAGCAGTGCTCAGGGCGGGTATGGGAGAAGCCAAGGCTCACCCACCCCTCGGACCCCTGACTCTCAGCATCCGAGTGAGGAGATACTGTAGGGGCCCATACGGGTACTTGACGCAGGGGGCTCTAGGGGTAGTGAGGATCCACTGGGATGCGGAAAAAACATTACAGCTCCTAGCTATATTTGTTTCTTTAAAAACAAAAGTCACCTCTACTAGTGTTTAAAAACTTACTTGTTAGAGGCACCCTTACTTTTTCATCTTCTTACAGGAGCTGAGTTTCTGGGTATGTGGTTAAGTAAATACGGCATCACTAAACAAGCCCTCACCAGAGAGAGTGGTGGTTTAAAAGATTCCTGAAAAGATCTGTAGACTGAAGGTAACACCGGGGAGGCCAGAGTGTGCGAACAAGGAAATGGACTGTCGCTTCTCCAGCCGCTCACGGGAGCTCCGGCTCAGCCGCGTCACAAACTGTGGCAGCACAATCGGCCGGACAAGCAGTTGCCTGAGGGACACCAAAATTATCAAGAAGGCAATCTGAAATCTGATGGCACGCCCCCACTTGTGAAAGCTAAACTTCCCCGTTAGTGTAGAAGGTAAACTTCAGGGAGCAGCAAATCCTTTTTAAAACTTGTGTTTTGTGTTTGTCTTATCCTTTTAAAAGTTCTACTTCCGGTGTATGATTTATTATGTCTGTAATATGTTAGTACAGTAGTGACCATGTACTTGACAAATAGAGACCGCATCTGGGAGGTGCTGAATTTTTTTCTACGGGGTCAGAGGTCCCAGAGCTTTGGAGACTGGTATTTTCAACAGCGCGCGGGGGTGCTGCGTCGCTGTGGCCCCTTCCTTCCTTCTCACGAGCCCGGCAGTGGACGCACCTTCATCTGCAGCAGGCAGGTGGGGACGGCCATGCGGCTGATGCTGTCGGAGGAGGTCTTGATGTCCACTCTCCAGTCTAGGTCAACCAGGCGCGGCAGGGAGACTGTGAAGGAGACGGACCAGCTCAGAGCCCCTGCCGCTCCCTTCACCAAGCCCTTACTCTGGGACAGACAGCCCGGAGGGCTGGTCATGCTCCTGAGCCACAGGACAAGTCTCCGAGGGAGACGAAGTCAGGGGCCTTCCTCGCCACGGCTCTGTGCCACCTGCACTTGGCACTGATTGATGGTGGGTGCACGGCCAGGTTTCTGCCTGCACACACGAGCCTCCAGATGCCGGCATAAAATGAGAGACGAATTTGGGATGAGGTTAATGCACGCTGAGTTTCAGTTACGAAGTCTGGCTGCCTGGCAGAGTTCGAGCCGGGGCCAGGAAGGAAGGGTAGGGAGGAAGGCGGGACCTTGGTACTCACTCTGATTTGCCTGGGCTTCCAGTCGCCAAGTAGAGCTGTTTAAGAGGGAAAGATGAGGAAAAAAGAATGGAAAAGGGATGAGAATTGATCATGAGCGAGGCCTGTGGACCTGGGCCTCTACCCCTTCTGGAATCCTCGAGCCTATCATCACTCCCTGACAGGAAATGACCACAGAAACGTCCGCTGCGTGGCAGAAGCAGTTTCTTGTTTGTTCTACATAGCTCAGTGGTGTTAAGGCCAGAAGCACTGTTAGTGTTCGTAGCTTAGGAGGCAAAAAGAAAGAAGAGGCTTAATGCATTGTGTTCTTGTTGTGTTACCGTTCTCGGAGATGAAGCAAGAAAAGTGAACCAATGGGGCGCCCGGGTGGCTCAGTCGGTTAAGCGTCTGCCTTCGGCTCAGGTCACGGTCCCAGAGTCCTGGGATTGAGCCCTGCGTCAGGCTCCCTGCTCCGCGGGAAGCCTGCTTCTCCCTCTCTCACTCCCCCTGCTTGTGTCCCCTCTTGCTGTGTCTCTCTCTCTCAAATAAATAAAATCTTTAAAAAGAAAAAAAAAGTGAACCAATGCTCTTTTATTGAGCATCTACTCCACAAAGCACTGCCTTTTATGCAAAACACACCCAAATAGACCCGTCTAATGCTACAGCAAAGAGCGTCATAGTGAGATGCTAAGCAGAGGCAGGATAAAATGTGGCCACGTGTGAGAAAAGTTTCTAAATAAACAATAAAATCCCTGACAAGCAGAGATTATCTCTTATTACTGCCTGAGAATTCTGGTCAAGCCTGCTGCTGACCAGTAGCTAATCAGTTCTGCTTAAATTGTATGTATCCAAAGGATTTGCCAAGAAAATATCTAGATAATTCACAAAAGAAACAAAAATGACCAATTAAACATGTGAGAAAGATATCTGACATCACTAGTATCAAAGATAAATAAACCGAAATGGGGCGCATTTGCCATTTGTGAACTGGGGGAGAAGGTGGAACCGGCTCCCTCGGGGCCGATGAGGGTGTGGGGGGAGGGGCACGCTCAGGTCCTCCTCCTAGACCCAGTTGGTGCAATCTTCCTGATGGTCAACTTGAGACTAGAAAGCAGAAGCCTCACTCTCATCTTTAACCAGTAAGCAGATAATTAAGCATGTGAGCAACGTTTCCACAGTCAACTGAAGTGAAAACTGCCAATAGCCTAAACATCTAACAGCAGGGAGTTTCTTAACTCAATTTTATGTAATGTCTCCATATAAAGAATATATTTAGCCACTAAAAAGGACACTGAAGGTAAGTATTTATTGACCTAAAATATCATTATGTGAGCATTACAAGCAACTCTCAAGAAATGAGCACTTACACATGTTCTAGGATGATTTTCGTCAGCAGGTTTTTGAGGTTTTGGTGGAAATTTTCAGGAAAGAGAGCCAGGATCGCCTCAGCAGAGGACAGGTCACGGAACACCGCCAGCCTGGTGAGGCGGTGCAGAGCCTGGAGCAGCTGCAGGACAGGCCCGTGGTGAGAAGCAGGGCAGGGGGCAGGGCTCTCCGCCCCGCCCGCCCCCCCCCCTCCCCGCGGTGGGGGACACAGCCTGCCACGCGCCGCCACGGTCGTCCCAACAGTCCCATGGGTCCTGAGACCTCGGTCCCAGACGCTGATGCCCATGTGCCCTGGCCCACCTCTAAGTTCACCTGTTGCTTTAGAAGACAGGGGTAGCTGCCTGACATAGGAAGCTGTCAGCGTGCCAGAAACTTCTGCTTGGGAGCAAAGGGTTAATAAGTCCCCTTTGCTTGTGCACAGAATCTGACCTTCAGTTCACTTTCTAGCCTGTTCCCTGGGAACACGAGGGAAAAGAAAAGTCAGCTGTGTTACTAGGCAACGCTGCTGTGGCCACCGCACCTGGACTGGGAGTTCTGCACGAACCCCCGGGGGCCCAGAGCCGTGGGCGGCTCCCCTGAGCATGGCCGCGTGCCACCTGCCAGACCCTGAAGCTGAGCTCACCGACCTGCTACCAGAGGTACTGGCTCTGGCCGGGTTTGGGCTCTAAATCCAGGGTGTCCTTGCCCCTAGGCTGTCACCGAGGAGGGTGAAGAAAACAAATGGATCCCGGGGGAGCTGTGCTGACTCCCCTGGGGAGGAGGAGGGCCTGGTACTGCCCTGCCCACCCTACGTCCTTCCTACAGACAGTTGCCAAGGATGGCCCGCGGCCAGCTTGTGAAGGCAACAATGCTCAGCTGAAACTACCACGACTCTCTGGAGGGAACTGCTTTAGGGCTTTCTCTGATGCCCTGGGAGGCTGCTCAGCTGCAGAGGCACAAGGTGAGAGGTGAGGGGATGTTACCCGTCCACTGATGAGGGGTGAGGTCAGTGCATCAGTGCCGCAGCCTCCCTGCCCTCCAGGGTGGCAGTTCTGCGGTGTGTTCCCCAGGGTTTCTTACAGGATGCCCAGTTTGAGCCCCGCTACCCACAGCAGGGCCCGCCCATCAGCACATCCTTTCCCGGCTTTGTCTCTCCTCCCTGTTCGATGGTCCCTACTCCCTCCTTTGCGCGTTCTAGACTCATCTCCCCAGGAAATTACCTGCAACCACTCTGAGCCTCGGGGTCTACTTTTGGGGAAGCCAAACTAAATCCTCAACTCACTTCCATAATCTGGATGCTGCCTTTTACTGTTCTACAGCTGATTTCAATGAACCGAGCTCTGGTTTAAAAATAGTAATAACAATAATAATGCAGGCCTGTTTGAGTGAACTCCTATTTTAGAAACATATTTGCCCTAAAAAGAGAAGGCCGTGAGTACTGCATAAACCGAGTCACCTCACTCTTCCTCTTGGCCACCAGCTGAGGTCAGGTGGGGTCCAGCAGCATGTCCCCTGAATCATACTCAGGCCCCAGTGCCCCCAAAGAAGTCTGTCTAAGCCATCTGGCTGACAATCTATCAGCAGCAGCAAGTTAGAGGGCAAGAAAATCGCAGAAAGGTTGGCTTTTGTCCACACGGTCTAGGGAACAAGTCTGAAAAGGAAATGGACGGGACCTCTGGTTCTTGGTATAGCTCACCCACCCTTGCCTCCTTTATCATAAGGAAGTGAAGGTTCAAAGACAATAGCTTTTAAGTTCACTAGCATTAAAATAAAAATCTATTTTAAGTTTGTTATAATGTCAACAGACATTTCAGGGGAAAAATTTCCTTGAAATGTGGCAATGATTGGAAAGTTAAGAAAGAGACTAATGAGCTGAGAAGCCAGTGGCCAAAGGTCATTTCTGACCATACTTACTTGCTCCGCTTCCTCCTGGGTCACAGACAAGCTGGAACATGTAATATCCAAGAGTTGTTTTGAGCCAAGGGCTGAACTGGAAAAGCTCTCTTGGCACAGCTGTCTGACAACATCTCTTGAGGAGGCCTATGAATTAATTCACAGATGGGGAGGAAAAAAGAAACACTCAGACTCTGAAAATACATGTTTCAGAACATAATACTGTCTCAGTCATAGTGTGATACCTTTGAGACTCAAGATTTAAAGGTGCACAGGACATCTCCATTTCCAGGGCAGTGACATAGATGTCATTTGTCTTATTTTCCCTTCTCAGCACAACTGAAAGCGCTGGGCACTATGTGGAAAACAAACGTAAGACCGCTCCGAGAGGGAATGGGGAGAAGACGGACCTGCTGTGGGCCTCCCCCTCCAGACCAAGAAATGACATGGTGCTGAGTCTCCTGGATTTTCTTGTTGCTCATATATCCCGGACTTCGAGCTAAAGAACAGGGCAACCCAGAATGCCAATGGGTACACAAAAACAAAACAAAACAAACAACTCCTGACAGATAAATACCTGCTCTCCCTACCCAAAGGACCAAGAAAGCTTAGCAAGACTGAAAACTGTTATGTGAGAACGGCTCTACTGAGCCAAACACCACAGAAAAACCTGTAGCCCCACTCCCACCTATGTTAGCAAAGGCTGAGTGGGGAATGCAGACTTCTACCCTTTTGAGGCTACAACGAGGTATCCCAACACCCCACCCAGGTGGTGTCAGAGAAGGCTAAGTAGGGAGCTGGGACCTCATCCCCACCGACGGGCAGCTAGTCCCACCATCCCTTGGTATTAATAGTAACTACATGGGGGCCAGAACTTCCACCCCTGCCTGGTAGTAACAAGGAACCCCCACTTTTCGTGTCAGTAGGAACCAAGGGCAGAACCTGGACTTTCATCTCCATCTGGTAGTAATGAGGCAGAAACCCTCCAGAATCTCAGAAGATAACACAAGAATGCCCAGGTTTCAACTGAAAATCATTCATCATACCAAGAGCCAGAAAGATCTCAAACTGAATGAAAAAAGACAATCATTAGATGCCAACATCGAGATAACAGATGTTAAAATTATCTGACAAAGATTTTAAAGCAGCCATGGCAAAAATGCTTCAACACCTAAATACAAACATCTTTGAAATAAATAAAAAAACGAGAAAGTCCCAACAAAGGAACAGAAGATACAAAGAAGAACAAAATGGAAATTTTAGAACTGAAAAATACAATAACCAAAATTAAAAAGTTCGGTAGATGGGCTCAGCACCAGAATGAAAGGGGCAGAGGAAAGAATCAGTAAACTGGAAGACAGAGACACTAGAAATCACCCAGTTTGCACACTGAAAACAGACTGAAAATAATGAACAGAGCCTTGGGGATCTGTGGGACTATACCAAAGAATCTAACATGCATGTCATTGGAGTCCTAGAAAGGGAGAATAAAAGAGGGAAAGGCTGAAGAAGTACTTAAAGAAATAACGGCTGAAAACTTTCCAAGTTTAGCTACAGACATAACTGTATGTGTTCAAGAACCTAAGCATATTCTCAACAGGATAAATCCAAAGAAATCCATACCAAGACACACCATAATTAAACTCCAGGAAACTAAAGGCAAAGAAAAAAATCTTGAAAGTAGTGAGAGAGAAACAACATCTTATCTATAAGGGATCATTAGAATAATAGTAGATTTCAAATCAGAACTCATGGAAGCAAGAAGGAAATGGCACAATATTTCTCAGGTGTTGGAAGAAAAGAACTGTCAACCAAGAATCCTACACCCAGCAAAAAATATCCTTCAGAAAATGAAGAGGAAATCAAGACATTCTCAGATGAAAGAACACTATGAAAATATGTCACAAGACAAATGACGTTCTCTTAACAGAAAGGAAACAATAAAAGGAACCTTGGAACCCTGGAACATCAGGAAGGAAGACAGAACACAACAAGCAAAAATATGGGTAAATCCAATAGACTTTCTTTCTCTTGAATTTCTAAATTCTGTTTAAGGATGAAGCAAAAATTATACCACTGTCCAATGCGGCTCTAAATGTATGCGGAGGAAATATTTAAAACAATTATATTACAAATGACATAAAGGGAAGTAAGGTTTCTATACTTCAGCACTAACTGGTAAAATGATGACACTGATAGATTGTGATGTTACATATATAAATGTAATAACTAGAGGAACCACTAAAAACGTTATAAAAAGAAATGCATTTTAAAATGCTACAGATAAATCAAAAGGGAATTCCAAAAATATGTTCAAATAACCCACAGGAAGGCAAGAAAAAGTAAAAAGAAACAAAAAAATAAAAGAGCAAATAAAAAAAATTAAATGGCAGACTTAAGCTCTAATATTCAATAATTACATAAGCTGTAAGTGGGAAATTAAATATGATTCAATTAAATGCTGTCTATAAGAAACACTCCTCAAATATAATGATAGAGACAAAAGTAAAAGGATGGAAAAAGATATATCATGCAAATATTAATGAAATAAAATCAGGAGTGGCTACAATAATATCGGACAACGTAGCCTTCACAGCAAATTACCAGAGGCAGAAAGGGACATTATATAATGATGAAAGGTTCTATCTCCTTTTTTTTTTTCAAAAGATTTTATTTATTTATTTGAGAGAGAGAGAATGAGGGATAGAAAGCACAAGAGGGAAGAGGGTCAGAGGGAGAAAGCAGACTCCCTGCTAAGCAGGAAGCCCGATGTGGGACTCGATCCCGGGACTCCAGGATCATGACCTGAGCTGAAGGCAGTCGCTTAACCAACTGAGCCACCCAGGCGCCCCGAAAGGTTCTATCTCCTAAGGAGACATCCTAACTATGTATGCACCCAGCAAGAGAGCTAGAAAACATGAGAAGTAAAAAAGAGACAGAACTGAAAGGAGAGACAGACAAGCCCACAAATATAGTTGGATACTTCAACACTGTCTTTCAACAATTGATAGAACAACTAGACAGATATTCGACAAGAACACAGAAGATTTCAACACCACCATTGATCAATCTAACCAACGCTTATGGAACACAAAACAGTAGCAACAGAATACACATTCTTTTCAAGTGCCCACTGAACATATACCAAGATAGATGATATTCTGAGCCATAAAACAAACCTCAACAAATTTGAAAGAACTGAAATCATATTAAGTGTGTTCTTGGTGACCACAATGGAATCAAACTAGAAACCCACAGAGAGATGACAAGAAAATATCCAAACATTTGGAAACTTAAACACACTTCTAAATAATCCACAGATCAAAGAGGAGCCTCAAGGGAAATTTTAAAAATTATACTATAAAAATTACGCTAAATACATAAAAATGAAAAAAAAAACCCACAAAATTTTTGGGACACAGCCATGACAGTGTTGACAGGGAAATTTACAGCATAAAACACATATATTAGAAAAGAGAAAAGTTCTCAAATCAATAATCTAAATTCCCACCTCAAGAACATAGAAAAAGAAAAGCTATATAATAAACCCAAAGGAAGAAGGAAGGAAACAACAAAGAGCAGAAACCAATGAAATTGAAGACGGAGGGGAAAAAAGGGAGAGAGAGAGAGAGAAATCAATGAAACAAAGAACTAGTTCTTTGAAAATATCAATGAAATTGACAAACTTTTAGCAAGACTGGCAAAGTTAAGCAGAGAGGAGACACAAATTACCAATATCAGGAATGAAACAGGGCATATCACTACAGACCCTAAGGATTTCAAAAGGAAAATAAGAACCACAAGCAACTCTATACACATAAATTTTGGCAGCTTGGACAAAATGGATAAATTCCTCAAAAAACACAAACTACCACAGTTCCCCCAACAGGCAACTGATAATTTGAATAGCCCTATAATGATTAAGGAAATTGAATTCATAATTTAAAACTCCCCCAAAAGAAATCTCCAGGCCCAGATGGTTTTGCTGGAGAATTCTAACAAACGTTTAATGAAAGAATTAACTAATGCTACACAATCTTTCTTAGGAAACAAAAAATGATGGAGCACTTTCCAATTCATTTCATAAAGCTAGTATTACCCTAACATCAAAGGCAGACAGACTGTACAAAAACAAACAAAAAACAACTATAGTCCAATATCCCTCATAAAAATAGATGCAAAAGCCCTTTAAAAAACATGAGCAAATAGAGTTCAGCAACATATAAGAAGAATTATTCACTATAAGCACGTGGGATTTGCTCCAGGAATGCGAGGCTGGTTCAGTATTTAAAACAAAAAACAAAACAAAACAAAAAAACCTATGTAATCTACCATATTAACAGGCTCAAGAAGAAAATCACAAGATATCAATCAATGCAGAAAAAGCAGTTGACAAAATTCAACATCCGTTCTTGATGAAAACTCTCATAAAATTAGGAATAGACGGGACCTTCCATAATTTTATATACAGCATCTACAAAAAACCTAGAGATAGCATTTTACTTCATAGTGAAAATCTAAAGTTAGGAACAAGGCAAGATTGTCTGCTGTTACCACTCTTATTCAACATAGTGCTGAAAATTCTAGCCACTGAAATAAGTTAAGAAAAAGGAATAAAATATATACAGATCAGAAAGGATAGAAACAAAAGCTGTCCCTATTTGCAGATAACATGATCGTCTACACAGAAAGTCTCAAGGAATGTACAAAAAAACTACTAGAATAAGTGAGTTCACCATGTTTGCAGATATGAGATACATATAAAAATTAAGTTGTATTTCTGTATACTAGCAATGAACATGTAAACGCTGGAATTAAAAATACATTTATCAGGGGCACCTGGCTACCTCAGTCTGAAGAGCATGCGACTCTTGATCTCAGGGTTGTGAATTCGAGCCCCATGTTGGGTGTAGAGATTACTAAAAAATTAATAAATAAACTTTTAAAAAAGATTTTATTTATTTATTTGAGAGAGAGAGAGCACGCACAGGGGAACTCACAAGGAGGAGAGGGACAAGCAGACTCCCTGCTGAGCGTGGAGCCCGATATAGGGCTCCATACGGCAACCATGAGATCATAATCCAAACCGAAACCAAGAGTAGGGCACTCAACCAAGACACCCAGGTGCCCCCAAAATAAATAAACTTTAAAAGAATAAATAAAAATTAAAATATAGGGGCGCCTGGGTGGCTCAGTCATTAAGCGTCTGCCTTCAGTTCAGGTCATGATCCCAGGGTCCTGGGATCGAGCCCCGCATCAGGTTCCCTGCTCGGCGGGAAGCCTGCTTCTCCCTCTTCCACTCCCCCTGCTTGTGTTCCCTCTCTCACTGTGTCTCTCTCCATCGAAGAAATAAAATCTTTAAAAAAAATTTTTAAATATCATCATTTGCAATTGCTCAAAAAAAGAAAAATACTATGGTATAAATCTAGCAAAATATGTACAGGACTTGTATGCTAAAAAATTACACAACATAGATGAAAGAAATCAAAGATCTAAATATATGGGGAGATACATCGTGGATTGGAAGACTCAACACACTAAAGATGTCAATTCTCCCCTAATTGATATACAAGTTTAACACAACTCCTATAAAAATCTCAGCAGGTTTTTTTAAACATAGACCAAATCATTCTAAAATTATATAGGAAGGCAAAGAAACTAGAATAGCTAAAATAATTCTGATAAAGAATGAAGTAGGAGAAATCAGCCAATCTGATTCCAAGACTTATTACATAGCTACAGTCCTCAATACTGTGAGGTATTATCAGAGGAATAAACAAATAGATCAATGGAACAAAACGGAGAATCCTGAAATAGACCCACACAAATTTGCCCAACTGATTCTTGACAAAGTTGCAAAAGCAATTCAATGGAGGAAAGACAGCACTTTCAACAAATGGTTCTGGAACAACTGGACATTCACAGGCAAAAAAAAAAAAAAAAAAAAGAACCCCTCAAACTGTCTTACATGCATTATACAAAATTAACTCAAAATTGATCATGTACTTAAATGTAAAATATAATGTAAACGTAAAACTATACAACTTTTAGAAAAAAAGAGGAGAAAATTTGGAGATCTATGGCTTGGCAAAGAGTTCTTAGACATGACACCAAAAGTACAATTCATAAAAGGAAAAATTGTTAGTAAATTGTACTTCATCAAAATTAAAACTTTTGCTCTGCAAAAGCTCCTGTAATGAGTTGGTGTCCCCTAAAATTCATATATTAAAGTCCCAATTCCCAGTACCTCAAAATGTGATCTCATTTAGAAACAGAATTGTTGCAGATGTAATCAGTTAAGATGAAGTCATAGGGTGGACCCTATTCCAATAGGACCGGTGTCCTTATTAAAAAGGGAAATGTAGAGGGGCTCCAGAGTGGCTCAGTCAGTTGGACATTGGACTCTTGATTTCAGCTCAGGCCGTGATCTTGGGGTCATGGGATCGAGCCCCATGCCAGGCTCTGTATACTCATGGACCCTGCTTGTGATTCTCTCTCTCTCTCTCCCTCTACCTCTTCTCACCAGCCCCCCACCCCCCAGAGGGTAAGGAGAGGGTGAGGGCAGAGGGGAAGTGGACGTGGATATAAAAGGACAAAAGGAAGGATCCTGTAGTGATGGCAACGTTCTGTATCTTGAGTGTATCCAAGTCAATATCCTGGTTGGGATATCATACTGTAGTTTTGCAAGATGCTTCTATAGGGGGAAACTGGGTAAAGGGTAAATGGGACCTTTCTGTATTACTTTTAACAACTGTATGTAAATCTATAATTACCTCAAAATAAAAACTTTAAGTCATTTTTTCAAGATTTTATTTATTTATTTGAGAAAGAGAGAGAGACAGCAAGCATGGGGGGAGAGGCAGAAGCAGACTTCCTGCTGAGCAGGGAGCCTGATGCAGGGCTTGATCCCAGGACCCCAAGATCACGACCTGAGCTGAAGACAGATACTTACCTGACTGAGCACCCCTAAGTAATTTTTTTAAAAAAGAAAATACATAGAATAGGAATGAGAATGAATTAACTATTGCTACATAATAGCAAGCATAAAAAGCCTGGAATAAGAAACGTATATGCTGTATTATTCCATTCATGTGACGTTCAAACATGGGCAATATTAAATTGATTTTAAAAGCAAGGGTAGTGGTTACTACTGGGATGAGTGAGGGAAGTAACAAAGGAACAACAGAGAGACTTCTGCAGTACTGGTAATATTTTGGTTTTGACCATAGTGATGGTTACATGGGTGTGTAATAAATCATTGAGCTATGCATTTATGATTTGTGTCCTTTTAGGTTACACATTACTAATACTATTTTAAAGTATTAAAAAAGTCCATACCATGATTAGGCATTGGGTGGGGAGTGGGCAGAATGAGGGTGGAAAGGCCCAGGGCTGTGAGCTGAGAGCCATAGGTTTCCAATCTCAGCTTTGTTACTTCATTCATTAATTCACATAACAGCTATGTACTGAGCACATGCTATGTGCCAGAAGTTGAGGATACACTTGTTAGGGATACATTTGTGAATATCATAGAGTAGTTGCTTTGAGGGATGGAGAACACAAGTGAACACTGCTGGGATTGTTAAAACAAAGGAGGGACCATTGCATGAACCAATCAATGATGATGCCGTGCCATGAATTGCTTAGTGTTATGAACTCAACCCTTTTCATCTGGAGTTAAAACCAAAAAAAGATAAGTCCCAACTGGATCTTACATTCTGCAAGAAAGGCAGAAAACAGGCAAATAGACGCCTAATGTCTACAAAGGAAGATAAAGCCGCCCCTTCTTCCATAAGGGAAATTAGAAATTAAACAAGTAATTCCAGTCCATCGTTTCATTTGGTTTTAAGAAGCCTCACAATCTTTCAAATGATTATCAGGAGAGTGTCTGGGCCTTTACACAGGTCAAAGCAAGTACAGAAAACCCGGGACTCGGGAAACAGAACGCCCACTTCACTCAGGGGGCCGAGAGTTAGCAGAGGAGGGAGATTTCTCAACCATGGAGCGAAGAGGGGCTGCGGGACGAAAGGGGGAACCGGCAACGTGGATCTAGCACTTACCACCTCAACACACCAATCCTGAACACCAGCCCCAGAGACCTTTAGTAGGGGGCATCGGTACAGCACCTTCACGTCCGTTATCTTATCTGTGCCCCCACCATCCTGTCAGGACGGTATTAATTTCGAGCCCGCTTTCTAAAAGCTCGGAAAGGCGCAACGACGCAGTCACCCAGAGAGGCAGTAGCACAGTCATGGCTCCAAATCAGGGTCCACTTGGTCCCAATTCCCATTCCGTCCTAAGGCCTGGGGACAAAGGCCCGCCTCAGGATGTCCCCACCCCTCCAATTTACCTTCAGCAGGCTCTGGAGCGCCGCGAAATTCTCCGCTGTCAACGCGGCCATCTTCCCCAAGTCACCTGACGGCGACACGCGGGCAAGATCGTCACGTGGTTCCGAGGGCGCCGCAGGGCATGCTGGGGGCTGTAGTCCTTCGGGATGGCGACGGCTGCCCGGGTTTTGGCGCTGCGGGATGGAGTGGGGGCGGCCCATAGGACGCGATCGCTGGATGATGGCTCAGCCTGGGGACTCTAGGACAGTGGAGTCTGGAGGACGCAGGTGTGGGATAGTTTTCTCGGGTGGAAATTGGCTTGGCTTGGCTGGTCTACTTACCAAGACAGGGAGAACTGATTTTCCTTCACCTGTGTGGGTGGGCTGGCTGATTTGGGGAATGCACCTGCAGGTGGTATTCACACCCTTATGTAGTCCCGTCCCACACTGTACCAGGATTGGTCTGTGTGGCCAATATCAGGTGGCAGAAGTAAATTATTTATAAAAGACTGCAGTTTTGGGGTATTCTCTTTTGTCTGCTCCTTTTTCTTGAATCTCTTGCTCTGGGGAAAGTAAGCTGTCATGTTGTGAGCAGGCCTCTGGAGAGGTCCATGTGGCAAAGAACTGAAGCCTCTGGCCAATAGCCAGCAAGAAACTAAAGCCTGCCAACAACCTCACTACTGAGTTTAGAAGCAGATTCAGTAGCCTCCGCAGAGCTCTGAGATGACAGTAGCCTTGGCCAACACTTTGACTACCACCTCTTGAGACTTTCAGAACCAGAACCACCCAGCTAAGCCACTCCTGGATTTCTGGTCTTCAAGAACTGTACGATTGTAAATGTTTGTTGTTTTAAGCCATTAAGTTTGGTAATTTGTCCACAGCAATAATAACTAATACATGGAGGCAATACAGTATAGAGACTTTAGAATTCCACCTAAGTTTGAATCCCAACTCTACATGTTATTAAGTGAATCTTGAGCAAGTTCTCAAACTTCTCTGAGCCTCAGTTTCCATATCTGTAAAATGATGTCGATCACACCTACTGCAGAGAGCAGAGCTGAGTGATAGGTGATGCCCCTGGGAGGTTATTCAGCTCTCCTGGCCCTGTGGGCAAGTATGTTATGAAGGGATCCCCCAGGATCCAGTCAGTGATGGGTAGGGCCTGTGACCCTGCACCATGTCATCCTGTTTGGGTAGGGCTTCCCAGACTGCCACTACCATGACCATGATGCATTTGAAGGTTTGTCTATGGTCTGGGGAGCTTACAGCAATTCCTAAACCATAAATGTTTTCACAGAAAGGAACAGAATAGAATAACGGAATTTATTTCCATAATTTGGTCCCACTACATGGTTTTTGTTAGGCCTCATCTGATTTCTTTCCAATTCTAGGTCTATGAATTTATGCTTACTTTCATTTATTTAATAAACTTGACATGAGCCAGGCTCCTTTCCTCATTTCTAAGCTTCTCACGCTAACTGATTTACTTACTTCCTATAATAATCCTATGTGATACACACACACACACACACACAATACTATTATTTTTCCCATTTTACATATGAGGAAACCGAGGTACAGAGAATACAGAGAAGTTAAGTAACTTGTCCAAGGTCACAGCTAAGTAGTGGCAGAGCCCAGAATCGAACTCGAGCAGTTGGGCTCCACAGTCTGTGCTGTTAATTGCCAAGCTGTATATGTCTCCTTGTCTTCCCATAGCTGAAGACTATGAGCTGAAAATGCATGCTTCTTCTGTCTGGATGTCTGAGCCCCTTCCCAAGGGGGCAAGAACAATCTGAGGGTGTTCCTGGATAATCAGCCCAGTGATGTGATGAGAGACAAGATAACGAATGGAGGGGCTACCTTTGGAAAAAGACTCAGGTTCAATTCCTGGCTCCTGTGTGCTTCTGGCAAGTTACTTCATCTCTCTGAACCTCAGTCTCCTCAACTGTAAAATGGAAACAACAATTAAAATACCTTTTGATGATTATGGGGAGCTCAAGGATGATTTATACCCCAGAGAGAGAAGGGTCATTTATTTGGAGACTCCATCTGAGCCATTGACAGCTCTGAAGGCCAGAGCGTTCTTGTGCTATGAGAAAGGGTTGCCACGAGGGTGACCGACCATCTCAGTTTGTCCAAGAAGGAGGGATTTCCTGGGACACAACACTTGCAGGGCTAACACTGGGACAGTCCTGGGCAGACCAGCCTAGCTCTTCACCCTCGTGTAAGGAAAATCATCTTTTTAGAACACTTGTCCTGTCTTCTGCAGTGGGGCTGATGTGAGGAGAGCAGCATGAACGCAGACTTTTTAAACAGAAGGTGATTAGGGGCAGCAATCTTAGTTTGAGAGTTTTGTTGTTGTTTTGGTTGTTGTTGTTGTTATTATTGTTGTAGCTGCTAACAGCTTTATAGAGAGGAATTCACATATACAATTTACCCACTTAAAGTGTACAATCCAGTGGATTTTGGTATATTCACGGAGTTGTGTAACCATCACCACAATGCAAGAACATACCACCAAAAAAACAACCACACCCGTTAGCTATATTCTCCCCTTCTCTTTCCATCACACCCCAGCCCCAGGCCACCACGAATCTCTCTCTCTCCTCTTGATTTACCTGTTCTGGACATGGCAGACACATGGAATCAGATGCGGTTGTTTTCATCAATATCTGCCCCTTAACTTGATGTCTTCAAGGGTCATCCACGTTGGGTATCATGTATCAGGACGTCATTCCTTTTTTTTTTTTTTTTAAGATTTTATTTATTTATTTGACAGAGAAAGAACTAGCGAGAGCAGGAGCACAAGCAGGGGGAGTGGGGGAGGGAGAAGCAGGCTTCCCGCTGAGCAGGGAGCCCGATGCGGGGCTCGATCCCAGGACCCTGGGATCATGACCTGAGCTGAAGGCAGACGCTTAACGACTGAGCCACCCAGACGCCCCAAGGCGTCATCCCTTTTGATGGCTGAGTGTTGTGTGACTCTAAAGCCTGCCCAGCCCTGTGGTTTATCCATTCACCAGATGATGGATACGTGGTCATTTCTGCCTTCTGGCTGTCATGAGTAATGCTGCTGTGAACACTCTTGAACAAGCTTTTGTGTCGATTGATATTTTCATTTCTCTTGGGGTATATACCCAGGAGCCACAGGGTAGCTCTGTGTTTAACTTTCTGAGGAGCTGCCAGACTGTTTCCCAGAGTGGCTGCGCCATTTACCTTCCCATCAGCAATGTCTGAGGGTTCCAATTTCCCCACATCCTCACCAACACTTGTTATTATCCGTCTGTCTGATGACTGCCGTCCTGGTAGGTGTGAGGCAGTGTCTTGTTGCAAGCAAGCTTGCCTCAGAGTTGAACTTTGCATAGCCAGCCCATGTTGTCATTTAGGCTACCGATGTTTGTTTGAGGTGACTGATGGAGATCATGGGGGCTTAAGCGCCCAGTCTGCCCTTGGGTCCCACCACCAGGTCTGGGCTGCCTTCTTTATCAGAAGAATACCTGCAGGAAGTGGATGAGGCCAAGGAGCCTATGGTCCTTTAGGGAGAGTCCCCTCATTTCCCTGCTTTCCCTTTTCCTCACCCCCATTTCAGGGATGGAGATGAGGGTGAGTGTCCACAGAGAAAGGGGGCTGCTTCACCGTTTTGGTCTTATACCACCTGCTCTAAGTCAAAGACTGGTTTTGAAGCGGACTGATCAGCTCACTGGGAGACTGCAGGCAAATTAGGGACAGAAGACCTGAAAATGGCAGGTGCATACTGGCTTGGACATGCTGTCTATGTCCAGATCAGGCAACACAAGCTGCATGATCTGGAGTTCCCTTTGTACTAACATTTGTCTTCGTTAATGCAGCATTTCAAAATTGGGAAGTGCCACCTAAAAGTCCAGATTTCTGGCTTTTCTCTAAAAATTGATGGGCCTAGCCATGCTGCTCCCACCATGCAGCAGTTGGCTAGAGCTAAGTCCTGGCTGCCCCCCTGAAGACAGGCACAGGCTCTCCAAACCCCCACTGTCCCCACTGCTCCCTGTTATGTCACAGTTGGCCACCCCCACATGTCACCTGCCTTATTCCTGCAGGAGAGTATTCGTTAGTGCCCTCCTTCCCTCGGGAACCTAAGGAGGTAAAGCGAGGCCATAGTCGATGGCCAGGCCGAGTTTGTATTTGAGATCCTGGGTTTCTGGTTATCTGTATCTCGTCTCACCATGAGCCTAAGCAAGTTGCAGGTGGACGTCTAATTTCCCATTCACGCTTCTCAAGTGATTTATATGGCCCAAACATGGTTCTAAGAGCTTTGCATGTTTAAGCTCATTCAGTCCTCACAGTGACCCATGAATATCCCCCAGTCTACAAGTGGGAAAACGAAGGGCCAGAAAGTGAACTCATAATCCATGGGTAATTAGTGGCAGACCAAGGATTTGAAGGCAGGAGCAAATGAGGTCATTTTGCGAGCTTGCTCATGATAGAGTGCCTGGTCCATTGAGCGGGGGCGTGGGGGGTGTTGGTTCAGTGGAGGCTGCCACATAGTGATTCACCTGGCTTTGCAACTGCTGCTGGCATGCTACACAGCCAGGCACTCGTCCTGGTCAGGTACCCCTCACTAAAGTCGGGGGTTGGTGTAGAAGACACCCGTGTTTGGAGAGATGATGTCTGCCATTCTTTCCAGCTCTAGCTTGTGGTAAGTCTCAGAGAAGGAGCAAGAGAGGAGGGGAGGGAGAGGAGAAGGGGCATCTGTCAATTCGTGATGCCTGGAAGACTAGCAGGTACCCACCTGGTCCCTCTAAAGGGGGTGTCCCCTGTCACCCCATTTCACAACCCCATGAGCTGGGAGTCCAAATTTCCTCCCCTGGCTCTGGCTAGCCTGGAGGTTATGATTAGTGAAGTCCAGAGCGCATCAGGCTGGGAGGGCCATGTGGCCTCGTTTCTCACCCTCCCATCCCCAGGAGTAACACAGAAGTGGCTGGTAACATACGGCATTGTCCTCACACACAGGGCCTCTTTGTTTCCCTGATACACAGAGAGGAGGCAGTAACAATGGCCTTGAATGGCACTTTGCGCTCCTTTCTCCAATGTTATACTTGTGTTTTTCAGTTCTGGGATCAG